TTATCTTATCTTAAACAGGAGTTGTGTTACCATTAGGAGTAGGTAATTAGGAGTTTGAGTTTAATTAGGAATTTCCTTCTGTAATCTCCTATTTAAGGAGCCACGAATTAATGAAAAGGCATTGAATTTTCGATCAAAAGAAGAGCTTAGGAGAGTTAGGGTGATCTCTTGGACAAATCACCCCCTAGTTCGCCACAATAGGGCCAGCACGCAAAGGAAAGGGCAAGGGAAGGCTAGGAGTTTTCCCCGTGGACCGCCCCGTGACGAGATCCTACGTGCGGGCCCATAACACCCACCCCTTTCTCTTCTTGTTTGTTGTGACCACAAGTACATTGTGCCTCTCAATGATGTATCTCATAGATTATAAAGCTATTATTCTAGACTGAACATTGTGCTGTTAAAGGTTGTGCCTATAACTATTTTTTCTCCCTTACATATCTTCAAAACTCTGTTTTTTAGTCATCCTAAACCCACCAATATCTTCTCTAAACACATTATATCTACCTAATTCGCTTAGATGTTTACCACAGTAGGCCTTTTCTCCTTTTCATTCTACACTACCCTTCATATAAAACCATTGTTTCACAATATCCATTTAATAAAGCTGCTACTTAGACACAATTTAAAATGAAACCATCAGTAATTTAGACAAGACTACTGATTTGCTTACCTCCATGTCATCATCAGAAGAATAAGCACCATCCAGCCTTAAGTACAGAGATTCATCTCCTGTCTCCTGAACAGCCTCCATTTGATTCTGTGAAAAGAGAAATAAGGGAGAAGGGAAATGGCCATTAGAATATAGGAATAATTCATGGAAACTTGTCAGAAATCAGTGACAATAGGTGTCATTAGATATTACATAAACACATCATTTGTGAAATTGAAGGTAACCATACTAGTTCAGATTTGAGATTCCCAATTCTTTGGCGCAGTCTTGAGATGTGATGGTTCAGAGCCTGAAAATATTTTAATGGGGTGTAACCAAAAGTGTACCCTCAAAAAAGAATTCATTACAAATTTACAATATCAGCTCAAGACAAACAACAATAAATGCAACTCATGTTCATACCTCACGTCTCTGAAGCTCGATTGATCGCATCAATGCTTGTTTCCTTGTTAACAGATTCTGCGGCCTCAATGCATGTGGGCGCTGATAATTCTTTCCACGATAGATGATTATGGCAAAGCCTTTGGTTGTTTTATCTACTGAAATTAGCAATCCACCACTCTCCGCCTCAAGGGAAATTGCAATATGCTTAATTTGTGCAAAACTTTTCCTCTTGACAATTATCTTGACTAGTTCCCTATATTTCCAATGTAAATGCATGTTTTCCACAGTACCATCAAAAACACCTCGCCTCCCTAAAACGAAAATCAAAAATATATTTTGTGTTTCATTAACTAGTTATTAGGTACTGAACCCATTAAGAGCATAATTGGAATGGAATTCTTTGGAGGTGCTTGGAGGACAAAATTACCTAAAAGCAAAAAGGGTTTCATGCTAAGACCCATTTTACGAAACAAATATCTTTCCTCATCAGTTAGGGTCTCTAAATCAGTTGGGAGCTCTGTTGGCTTCAGAAACTCTTGCACTTTTCTTAAAGTCTTCTCCGCCTTTTTGACCTTCTCTTGTGCCTATACAATGCAGAAACCAAACCCAAAAAAAAAAAAAAATGAAAAACAAGAAATAGGAGGTGGGGAGTGGGGAGTGGCAAGGATGAGTAGGTTAAATGGTTGGGTGGGTATTTAGTGCAGTCACAACACTTACTTGAGCTAGCTTCTTCTCAAGGTATCTGACTAGGGAAGCATGTCTAGATAAAGCTGCATCTTTCATCATTTTCTGCATATCTTCACTGCTTGGTTGCTTTGCCCAACGAGAGTTTGCTGCAACAGTTTCAGCAAGGGTACCAGCAACCAATGGACCTTTAATAGCTTTGGCATTTGAAATAATTAAAGCCAAAGCCCTCTGACGTGCTTGTTCTTCCTCATCCTGTCGCAACTCTGCTAATTTCTTCCTTTCTACTAGTGCTTCCGTCACAACAGGTGACAAGAAGTCATTACCCCTGTAAAAAACGATATAATCCTTGTTTCTAGAGAGAAGTGTCCCCCCTGTTAATCTCTGCACCAACAAACTAGTTTTAGGTAAAAAGAAACTATGAAGCTCAAACATATGATATTGGACTTTAAGATGTTACTAAAAATGGATGTGCAGCCCCAAACATTCAAATATGCATATTGAACCATCAAGAAGTACAGATGAATATATTTTCTTGTTTATATCCTATGTATTTCCTTGTGACTAGATAGTTTAAAATGTAGCACCATCCTATTTCCCAATGCTATGTGTGTATGTGCATGCATGTGTTTTGTTCCTTTGGTAGACTTTGCAGACCTGTCAAGCGATTAAATCATTTTTACCCATACACAGCAGAATAACAGAAGTTAACATGATTTGAATCCACAAAATAATACCATCTTAATGTATTGGATTATCCTCTACTAACATCCCTAACACATGATAAAAATTTAAAAGGTCCCCAGTGAAAGAGTACAATTTTCAGCTTGGATGAAAACTCAGTGGACAAGCAATAGAAAAGCACATGGCTTTACCTATGAAGGAGAATACTTGATCTTAATTTTGTACACAAATTATAAGATCACATATTACCATGTAGACCATGCATATTAAATTTCACATGATATTCTGAGATTACAAGTTGTAGCATCAAAGCCAGGGTTACCATGAGAATTATCAAACCCCACTACACATTGGAGAAATGTCCCATTTACAGAGGATCATATCCTACCAGTGAAAGTATCCCCACATAAAAAATCACATATGCCAAGAATCATGTTTGACATTGCATTGTGATTTTTTGGCACATGGAGTCTCCTTGATGGAATACATTTAATGGGAGGTCCAAATTCAATTCTCTAAAATTGGACATATCTGTGTTTCACCACTGTGCAAACCCTTTTGGCATTCTTACAATAAGTATAGTCCATAGTTGAACACAGAAAATTTTGTAAATTCCATACTCAAGAAGCTATGATATCTCACCTTGAGTTCTTCTGCCATTCTCTCATTACAGGTATTTTGCACACCACGTTTGATGGCTATCTTAGCAATTTCACTTCTTTCCCACAACTTCACCATAGCCCTAGCAAGGCCTTGTAGTTGTCTGTTTCTTCCTACAACAATTAAGTCCTATCAAAATCATAGTACAGATGCAAATGTGATAATTTGGCAGATATCATCACTGACATACCCAATGCAAAATGAGGGGGCATTGATCTTGCAAGCCTACGGAAAGATGTCATCTCCTTATTTTTCAGGCAATGTCTTATCCCATAAGGCAGAAGTCTAAACGGAGGTTTGTAGCCAGGAACCACACAAGGAAGTAAGTCTGCATCAACAGGCTTTGGTTCACAGCCTGACCAATCTCTGAATCGCGGACCCAACTCATCCAACAAATTGTTGAGATCAGTCATATCCATGAGTTCTCTGGACAGATCCTTATCATATGTCATAGTCCCAGTACTAGATGACTCCTTAGTCTGAATTGCATCAGTTACGCAAATATTCCCACTAAAATCAATCTTTGACTCTTTTGAATGAGATGCAATATCTGGATTAGCTTGATTATCTTTTATATATGATTCCACACAAGGAAATTTGTACGACATTCCCCTGTACAGCACAACTGAACTGCCAGACCTCCAGATAACCAAGCCTCTAGTTTTACTCTGATAGAAACAGAACATAAAAAAGTAAAAATATTAAAACCAATCTACATTAATGACCAATTCTGAACTGTCCGTTCAACATACAAAGAAAAAGAAATAGAAAACGAGTTCAAAGAAAAAAGGATGCATTTGCAAGAAATAGAAAACGAGTTCAAGAACTCCACAATTACACATTGTAAAAAATTTGTATTACGTGACCAATTTCAGTTAATGGAAGCTCCAACAACACCAAATTGATATCTCTTACTAAGTTGGCATTTGATTGGAAGCATATATACTGAAAATGACTTAAAGGAAACTGGAAAGAATCAGAAGATGTTTTCATATGGGATTGGAGCCGTGGGGGAACTAGGAATAATACGTAAACATACTAACCTCTAAGGCTTCATGGGTCCTCTTCATGTTAAGGGCAGGTGGCCCTTCAAATTTTAATTTCACCACTTCATCTTCCTTCCACTTTTCAATAATGGAGTCCACCAAATCCTGTGTAATGCCTGCAGCTCCAACTTTTATCCTTTCCTTCATTCTCAAAGCAACATTTCTAAGCCTCCGCAACTCAGTTTCAGGAACTGTCTTCGCCGCCAGCTCCGTGGTGCTCCTCCTCCACCTACCTCGATCCACAGACTCCAAAAATTTCTCCTTTTCCCAAGGTAATCTAACCGAATCACCATTACCAGTTGACTGCTCTCCAGAAAACCCAGTTAGGGGGGGTCCAATCTTAACACTGTCATCCCGAATATAATCACTTCTTTGTTCTTCTTTCAAGCTTCCACTATGATTAACTACACTATCTTCACTAATCTTAGGAATGGTACTCTTTTCAGAAAAGTAATGAACTTCAGCAAATTTTCCGCCGTTGTTTAAACTATTTTGGACAATTTCGGTTGTAGAGTCGAAATGGGGTTTTCTGGGTTTGTCGCCGTGACTCCAAGGAGCCGAAATTGAGCGATTTCCTAGAGCAAAACTCGCCAAGTCATCGAATGACGGGTTCCCGCCATCTCCCTCTGAGGAATTAGGAGCAGAAGAAGATTGATCATTTCCTGTCTCTTCTTGCCCTTGTGATTCTTGCTCTTGCCATGGCAGTCTTTCTCTTGGAGAGCCAAGCTTGAGAGACCATCGATCACGAATTTGGTCGTAGAAACTTGGTTTGAGCTTTCTCTTCTTTTTGGTCTTGCGAGCAACTTCTGTATGGGGTCCCTTAGTTTCAATTTCGACAGAGGAGGAACAAAACCTTTCGAGTTTGAGAGTTCTGAGGCCGGCTGAAGACGGTCTATTGCGTTGGAAAATGAGATTGGAAAGAGGAGGAGAAGCAGGTATGGAATAAGAAGATGGAAAGATGTTGAATGAACACGACGGGGAGAACGCCATGGAGGATGAGAGGGTCGGGACCTGGTGGAACTTCTCTAAAAAAATAATTGAGCTGATGCTAGAGTGAGATCGAATCAGCCCCCTACAAGATTGCCCCAACAACGTCTTTGTTGCCAGCGAACAGAGTTTGCACCTTCGGCATTTGTTGCCAGCGAACTATATGAAATCGGATCTGCTCCTCACATACACATCCTACCATGCATTAGGAACATCTATCATGCTTTTAAGTTATTATTCACCGGATATGTTCCCAATGCACAGTACATGTGCATACGAGACACCCAAGTGTGAGGAACAGATCCCGTTTTTCCCCATATCACGTCAGCGCCCTATATGCACATTTCAGTATGAATTTGAATTGGGAACCAACTATCATATTTGACATTGGGAGATGTTCCCGATACATGGTTGAGATATTCTGTGAGGTGTGCCTTGCGAGGCGCAGATGTAAACTCCAAACATTTATCCAATAATGCATCAAAACAAATAGAAAAATAATTAACTCTTACCCTCTACCAACATCAGCTCACACGGCACCTCTTAACTTGAAATTGAGACCCACTTGGGACCTGCTAAATATGCGGTGTGAGATGAAATTGGTAGAGGTTTGGAACATATATTTGTTAGTAGGTGATCCGATCTCCCGTTGGAAAACAACCTTCTACCAAAGTCATTTTATATAATAAATTTAAGGTTAGGGATTTAGGCTTTACAATTTAAGGGTTTAGAATTTAAATTTTGAGGTTAGGGTTTAAGGATTTAAATTTTCGATCATAGGATTAAGGTTTAAATCTGAAAATGGTTGGATGCATGTCCTCGAGCGGCTATGAGAACTAACATGTCGTATGTCGGTAGAGCCCTATTAACAGTTCAATTTGTCAGATACTTTCCCTCCATATAGCTAATTAGATAACTTTTTGCCTTTCTTTCATACTACTAATCCCGATCGATCGAGCCTGGATGGAGGAGGGTTATTTCAACTCTCGAATTTGTGTCTCGCGGGTAGCTTTAGTGATTTGTGCAATTCCAAATCAATCCTAACCTAATCCAATCTATACTTTTCCACAGGTTGAATTTGAGTTTTAGGCTACAAGTTGGACCTGGGCCAATTAATTTGGGTTGGGCTTGGGTAGTCTGAGCCTGACTCGAGTCCAGCCCAAACAAACCCTGACTCAACTATAGCCCAAGTTATGCTAGGTTAAACTTGAGTTGGGACTGACCTCAGGTTAGGATAGACCTAAGCCTGAATTCAGCTCAAACCACTCAAGTTGCACCCCTAACTAGCATTGTGGGCAGCAGTCTAGTGTGCCAAGTCAATAGCCATGCCAAACTCGTAACAGTCGTAGAGAAGATCGGGGTATAACAGTGGGGCAAACCAAAAAGGACATGGATTAAAGTTGGATGTATAATTTAACAATGTTATACATCATACACGTAGCCGATTCAATGCAGTTGGGACAAGGTTTAGGGGTTGTTTGATAATGGCTGAAGTGGCTGAGTTGAATGACTTATTGCTTTATCTTTTAGTTTATTATTGAATAAATTAATCAGATAATATCCAATGAAATATTAAAGTATTTAGTAATCAATCAAACTTTCCCTAAGGTTGCATTTGGAAACAGTGCAAATAGAGTGTAAATGCTGGTTTAATGTAAATATGCACTCTGGTTTAGTTTTGCTAATGTTTGACAATAATGCATTTATGCATTGACAATAACAGAAAATACAATTTCCAAGGCATGCGATGTAATTTTTCAAAATGGACTTTTGTTAAAAAAGGTACATTACTTCATTGGGATTTATATTTGCATCTATAACTAAAAGTTTTTGATAAAAAAATAAATTTATCAATGTAAAATTGGAACTGACCCAACTTTGCATTTAAAAATACACTGTATATTTGCATTTACACTCTATTGATACATAGTCAAAGCCCGGCCCGGCCCAACTATACTATTAAATTTAGCCAATTCAACTGTTATCAAAGTGGGCAAGAAAAGCATCTGAAATTACTCCTTTAATTCTTTAAACATATTTACATTTAGTCCAAACCTAGGTAACTGAAATAATACGCCCTGTTTTTTCTGACATGCAAAGTAGGCTAAACATACGAGCGATACTATTATGCTCTCTACTATTTACATTGAGAAACAAAAACTTCTGAAAAAAACTTTAGGGGTTGCTCTAACCACGAGCCAGCAGCATGTCTCCTTGTTAGCATCTATACAAGGTTTTTACTTTTTAGCATCAGAATATACTGTCGGTTCTTTGATTTCTGTCACTTGAGCTGCTTCTGAACCTCTGAGAAGTGCCCACCATTCCTCATCTGCTGCATTCCGAGCTTTACATTGTTTTCTCCCTCTCTCTCTCTCTCAGCCGTAATGACTGTATTAGCACCTGAGAAGATAATAAAGCTTGTTGCTGTCAACCCACCCATCAACAAATAACTGAAATTTTGTCTGAGCAATTGCCAGTATGAGGATTTGTTTCTGCTGTACTCTTTTCATATTTAAGTCCTGAATGGTGTAGCTCTATACCAACTGCAAGGTCCTCATGTTTGGACCAATCATTCAATTTGTGTTCTTGTCATTCATCAACTACTTCATGGAAGAGTTTTTGACCCACATCATTAGTGCTAATGCCAATCCAAAACCCCATCCATATAGCTCTTGCAAAATGGCACTGAAATTGTATATTATTTACAGATTCATTTTCTTGTCCACATAGTACACAAAGAAGATCCTTAGAGAGAGCCTTTCCATTCATTCTTTGTTGATATACCCCTTCCCCCCC